GAAGATCTTTTGCTTCATGGAAAACTACATATGAAGAAGATAATATATCCTAATTTGTCTGATGCCTTGTTTTCTTTATATCTAAGCCCTCTCTTGTGCTTATTGTAGATGTACTTTAATAACTGTTTTTTCCCCACTCTTTTAAAATACTGTTTACATTTCTGTATGCCTATGGTGAAATATATCCTCATTTCTTTTGTAGTTAGTGACTTCTTATAAGAGAAAGAAAGGAGCACTGGTTTGGTTGTTTGAGATGTTTGGTTTCTTTTTAAGTTTCTAGTTTTAGTATGTCTGCATCCGGTAAACAAGTACATGCATGTTTTGAAATAAATATTTTAATAGGCAAAGGCTTCAGCTGATTAGAGCTAGTGTGCTGCTGCAAATACACTTTTTTTGGCATCAAATATGCACTCATTTGAGCCACAGCAAACCTTCATTAGATTTTTTTTTCTTTTTTTTTCCTCCATTGTGTTCCCATCGAGAGTTATTGCAAAGTGAGAAAGATATTTTTTACATTAACTACTCTGCTCTGACTAAAAACCAGTGAAAGATTTACAGGTTCCCAGATTCCCGCTTTACTATTGTTTCCTGTAAGCATGGAAACTGATAATGCTATAGAAACAATGTCAGACTCTGCTTTCACCATGACCTGATTTTAAGAGTCAGTCTCATCAGCTTATCTTTATAAGAACACCTATGTACCCTAATCAAGAATATTTGATTTGTTTTATTATTTCTAAATAACTTTAAACTCAAAACAAGTGAATATTTGGTTTCAGCTTCTACCTAAAACCTCCCTCTTTGTTACTGCCTTCTGAACTGTGACAAAACTGTAACATAGCTGGGGTTCAAACAATTAAAGAAGGTCCTTCACTCTACCAGGTTTATTCTCCTTTTAAGATCATCAACTTCTAGAATAAAATATCTCTGTAGTGGTGAAACTTTCTACGGTGGTCTTAGTCCCTTGCTCATTCCTTTTCACAAAGAAAACTTCAGAGATCTGAAGTAAGGTACATTCCTTCCATTTAATTTTTAAAGGCAAATGATACTTTTATTTATTTATTTAACAACAGAAGTCCAACAAAGATATCGGCCTTTGCTTTATAAAGGTTACTGTCCTTTCCCCAGGTGAACAGGTGTGACAGCTACAACCTCTCATTTCTGGAACAATGTATAATTAAAAAGTTACAGGGTAAACAATTTCCTAATCAGACACTGTCCACATAATTTTGCTCTTACTTGCACTACAAAGGGTTTTAGAATCATAGAATCATTCAGGTTGGGAAAGACTCCTAAGACCACCAAGTTCAACTATTGCCTAACACTACAAGTCCACCACTAAATCATGTCCCAACATCTCTTAAATACCGCCAGAGATGGGGACTCCACCACCTCCCTGGGCAGTACAATTCCATTGCCTGACCACCCTCCCCATGAAGAAATTCTTCCTGATACCCAACCTAAGCCTCCTTTGGCACAGCATGAAGCCATTGTCTCACATCCTATCACTTGTCACTTGGAAAAAAAAAAAACAGACTGGCACACACTTTGCTGCAATTTCCTTTCAGGTGGTTGCAGAGTGATGAGCTCTTCCCTGAGCCTCCTCCTTCCCAGACTAGCAACCTCAGCTCCCTCAGCCATTCCTCATACGTCTTTGAGACAGATTGAGACTACAGATCTCAAGCCAACAAGTATGATAAACCTAATCTGAACTTCAAATGAAAAAGGTGAACCTCTGAGTTCTTTGATGGCCGATCTTCCATAATGCAAGCTGGCTGTAGTGATGTCAGGAAAGAAAACAAATAAGATCAAAAGAACTCACATTATTTGCAATTTAAAACATAACACTTCTATGCTTGAATCTTTAACTAATCACACTTCATAGAAACATGGTGACATACCAAACAGATAAAATTTCTCCACATGAAGAATGGCAGTGAAAATGCTCTGGAAAAAACTATGCCCAGATTGAACAATCTCTGAGTGAAGACATCTCCAAAGCCATTACAAATTATCTTCAGTTCTATAAAGGGGCAATTTTGCTCAAAATAAAATGCAGTAAGATAAAAGAAGAATTAAATTTTTAAGAGATTCGATGTTACAAGGCATTTGTTACTCTAACCAGTTTTATTACTTACTACTTTTTATTACTTATTACAGCAGACCTATCCTTGTAGCTAGCTGCCCTGTGCGTGGCTCCCACAGTGCTAGCCAGAGGTTGAGGCAGTCAGGGGAAAAGGAAAAGCTAAGGATGCAGCCAAATAAGCTGCCTTAAAGGATAGAGAGTATGTTTCTTGGTGTTGGTATTGGCTCCAAGGCCAAACACTGCAATTCAGAAATGTCTAAAAACTCTCTCTCACTGTCCTGATTTACAGACATTCGGGTATCCATGAAGAAAAGCCTAAAGCACCACTGTAGAGCAGAGCTGTGAAGGTATCAACATGCAGTGCAGAAGGGCCAGGAATTAAAGATCAAACTAAATGTCAAATATTCCTAAAAAGCAGAGGCTTTGCTTTACCTATTTAATTGCTACATTAAAAGCTAACTACATTGATATTTACATGAAACTTCACTTGCACATGAGAGAAGGAAATGCTAGTTCATCATCATAAATTATCTTCTATCTTCTCTCAAATGAAACAGTGGGAAGTAAACACCCTATTTTCCTACTGGATGGACCTTTAACATACTCATTAAGATAAACGTATGTCCAGCAGATGAATGGAGATAACTGGTCATAAGGGCTGACATGCAAAAAAATGCACGTGCTGAACTATGTGTACTGAACATTTCATCGTAGGATGGTTCAAGGTATCTTTACATGAAACCCCCATCTATACAGCACCCTCTAGTCACAAAACCAAGCATTTTCCATTTCTTTTTCTAAACAAAGGGTATAACAGTGGAATGAGAACTTGCCATTCAACAGCGGAAACTATTTGTAAAGCTGGGAAGCTGAAGACACGAGGAAGAAAAGGCTTTAATGAAACTGGCCTCTGTGCGTGCCAACTGTCAAGACTTTTTATATATTTTTTCCAAGGAACACTGACTGAGGATTTTTCCATGTTTACTCTTTACATCTCAATTATTACAATTCTTTGAAGGATGCCAAACTACAAAATTCATAAGAAATGCATATTAGAAACAGGCAGGCTTTTTTCCCCTGCAACTAGTCTGCAGTTGCATTCAATGACCCATTAACTTATTTTTGGTTCTGTACAAAGCCAGCATCAAGACATTTGCAACTCATTATCTAAGCTAAGCACAAGAATTCACCACTAGAGCCTCGGCTGACCCAGATCCAAAGGAAATCCCCATATGCTTGGAATTTCTGAAATACAAGCATTACAGTCGTTGCCTGGTAAGAAAACAGTTTCCATACACAACCAAAGATATGTTTATATTTATGTTTTTGGAGGCTTATAACTTGGCAAGAAGCACATATATCTTTCCAGGGCAGTAAAATTTTTATCACTGACATCAGGGTAAAAATACAGTAAAGTTACCAATCCACAACACTGAGGCAGTATAGATGCAACAGCTCTCTAGACCAATATTTTAGCCCACAATAGGAAATTCTTTACTTTTATTAAATTATTATAATGAAATCCCACTTTCAACAAAACAGCTTCACTCACTGTGTCATTAATTCATTGCCAAAGCATGGCTCGTCCTGTACTGCAGGGGAGGAAGGCCACAGGGCATTTAACTTTGGTCTCTGCCCTTACAGAGCCTCCTGGAACAAGCCTCGAAGCTAGTCTGGATGCTAGAGTTGCACATACAGCTGCACATGCTGAGGTCTGACCCCAGTGCCTTTGACTTGGAGAAGGGCATCTGCTGCACTCTCAGCAGTGCCCTCACCAGCCAGAGGTTGCTTGTGGGCAATATAGCTCTGTAAAATGCACCAGCACTGCAGTCGTTAAATGAGCAGAAGCCTTGCCTGGGAGTAAAGAATAATTAGTGGCCAGTTGAGAACAGCCATCAGCATTACAGGAGTCATGCAAACACTTTAGTCATTTTTTCTTTCGGATCAAGACAAAAGTTCAGCTTATTTCCTCGTATTTGTAAACAGCACACAGAAAGATGGGGTGAAGTAAGGCAATCACATTTTCCACTCTGCTATGGAAAATGTAGAAGGTGACTAAGTAATTAGAGATGGTATGATAATGCACACAATAGGACTGGCTACAATAAGGCAGAAACCTTAACTGTGGCATTTCATATCTTCTAAGAGATCGAACTGGCAAACTAAATAACATTCTTTGAATTTCTGAATTATCATAAAATCATAGAATGAGGAAATAATGAAATATTCTTCTATAAGACACTACCATGAATAATACTCAGGGAGCAGAGTGGTGACCACAACGCTAACTATTATTGCCAGGCAGCCTATTTGAATTATTTTCTCCTCCAACCCAGGCGGGAAATAATTGCCTGACATACACTGTCAGAAGCTGACTAACAGCAATGAGCTATAAGAGCTGCTGTGAACTCTTGATTATACAGAATAGGAAAATATGAGCCTTAAGTGACCAGTGAATACCCTGCAATTCCCTTATGCTGTCTGACAATTGTGTCTCTCCTTCAATCTGAGGCCATTCACCATAATCCTAAATGCAAAATATCCCTGAGGAGACCCATTTGAAATGCCTAGGCAGCTGGGGACACTTGCCTCCATTTCCTTGAGCTCATTCTGACAGCACATCCTAATGAAGCCACCCGTGACCTTACTAAGGCTCATCCTGGAAGAGGCCCTTTCTCTGGCAGCAGTACTCTGATAGGGATCTTGAAGGTTAAAGAAAACCCAAAACACTGATATTCCGTTTTCTGAACAGAAACACAGAAATCATAATGTACTCAGTCAAACAGTCTCTTCTTATGACTCCATCCTCTCACATACCATTTTGGAATGGTATGATGGATGACGCTTGATTTCAATTTTAAAACTACCATTTTGTGCATTGGCTCTGTGGCTATTACCATACAAAAAGCTTTACCTCTGCTCCTGAATACTTGTGGGTGTGCTGAACAAGCTCTGCTAAGCAGATTTCCTCACTGACTGGCATGGACCGAAAATGAAGTTTGAAGATCTCCCCACGAGTGGCTGCATCTGGCAAAGGCACATAGATAATTCTGTCTATTCTTCCCGGTCTCAGCAAAGCCTGCAAGGAAAATGTCACAGAAAGTGGTATAAGGAACAGCATATCACATCAAGAAAGTAAAAACAGTAAGTCAATTAAAAACAATAATAGCAACAAAACCCAAAAACCAATTTCAGCAGAAGCAAGAAACTGCACAAGAACAATTAAGCTATGTGCTAGAGAGATTACTCTCTCACACTGCAATATATCAGTCACTGAAAAGACAGTAAAGCTATTCAACTTGTGAAATACCAGTTGATGGAAAAAAGGCATCATGAAGGAACTAAAGTCATTTTCCTAAAATAATAATTCTAGGCTTGTTGCAAGGTGTACTGGAATGCTAGGGCTTGGCAAAAGGACAGGTGGCAATGAACATTTCCTAAGTTCAGATCTTCAATCAAGAGAAGCAGAGGAAAAGAAAGCTGAAATAAAGCTGGCATCCTGCATTCGTATTTATTTATCCCACATTACTAGCACTGCACACACTTAACCAAGAACATAGTCACGTTTTTCACACACAATAAGGTAATTCTAAACAGAGACAGTGATGTTCACCTTTAAAAAGGAGGAGAAAAAAACCACAGACCTGCAAAAATAATGTAGTTTTGGCATCAGTTTTGGACTGTTGGAAGAACGTTTCTCCTGTGCCACAAAACAGCTGAAAATTCAGCAAATGATTAGTTACAAGGCCAGGCTCCAGTTCTGCAGCGTCATACAAGTACAGGGAACCAGTGCCATAAAAAGCAGCTGGAGGGTTGTCTGGGGAGTTCATCCCTGGGACAGGTCAGTGATGAGGCTGTGAAAACTCCATCCTTGAGGCTCGGCGCGATGAAGCCAAGCCCTCCTCAATCTAGTGCTGGTGACAGTCCTGCACCTCATGGGTGGGGACTGCAAGGCCTCTGGAAGCCTTCTTCAGCCAAGCTTTCTATCATTCCATGGTTTCTGGAATGGGTCAATAAGTAAATACTATCTATGAATAAAATGATTATGTCTGATACACAGGAGAAGCCAAATCCTTAGATAAATGAGATGAGAGGAAGCTTATTTCCCTGTATTTTTACAAATCTGTAAGAATTTTTTAAATTAAAACCATTTACTGTAAAAAAACCTAAAAAATAAAAATTAAAACTCTCCCAGCCTGACTTGACATTTGAGGGGGAAAAAAAAGTGCAGAGCAAATGCACCTAAATAGTATTTAAAAACTATTTTTTAAAAACTAGGCAATGTTTATAAGATTCAGCATGTAACCTAAATTGTTTTTATGTTATGATTCTCCCTTGGGCAGAGTAGTTCAAGTTTCAGATGACTGGAGATATTGCATGGCTGTCCTGGGCTGTCAGCCAATAAGTCTTTTCCCAGCCTGATCATGTCAGTGAAAGTCATGCTGAAAAAAATAGTAGGAAAGAACTTTTCTTCCTGCACAGCATTGATCAAGTTAACACCCTTCCTAGAGTTTCTTTAAAAAGACTGTTGTGGTGCTTCAGAATGGAAAAATGTATCCTGAATGTTAAGAGATGTCTTGTTATTTTTAAAACAGAACATGAAAATGTTCAGTAGAAAGCACATGGCACTGCCGTGTGTTTCATTGGCCTAGCTAAGGACATAGCAAGGGAAGACTTAAGGCCCACACCTAGCCCCATACTCTGACTCTATCAGTGGCCAATGCTGGATCCCAACAAAGGAGAGCAAGAAGCAAGCTGTCCACCAGTACTTCCTTATCAGGCTGTGCTACTTGCCCCAGCACTCTCGGTATATTCACCAAGCACTCAACACACCAGTGATAACAAAACTAGTGTGCAATTTGGGGTCTAAACCATGTGTGTATCAAGATGTTGAGAACACACCTGGAAGAGAAATTTGCATGTTTCAAGACTAGGCTTGGAGGAAGAGGAATTACACTGCAATTGCATTCTGCATGCTGTTAAGAAAATGCCCATAGATAACTGCTATTTAGAAGAAATACAAAGTGCTCAAAAGAGTAAAATGGTGCATCTCTTTTAAATCAATGCAGGTTTAATCAGGAAGCCTAGATAATTAGAACATTTTCTAGAGACATCTTAGATCCTACTAATAAATAATCACGGCAGTTGTGCAAGAGGGTCAGCAAAACGTTTGATAGAAAGAAGGTCCTGACCAGCCACAACTAAATGCTACAGCCACAGGTTTTCAGCTGTGGGACAGACTCTTAACATAATGCAGCACCCACTCTAGAAAAGCACAAATGCAGATATCAAAGAATGAATGAATTTTTTTGCTCCACATTACTTAAAATTGAGTTTCTTCCAGTTTGTCCCAAATGCTTTGTATATCATATATATAGTCTTAGTTGGAAGCTCAAGATTAAAACATGCCTCTTGCTACAGTCAAGCATAGGAATGTTATCCAAGATAACCAGATGTGCTGGAATCCTACAAAACAAAGCGCAAGTCAGTCTCTGTAGTGCTTCCTCGTTACGTAAACAGACAAAAAGAGAGGAGAGAAAATACTCTGTTAACTTCACTTGTGAGGAGTTCCAAATTCCCTCCTCCAAAGAGAAAAGCAGATTCATCTGAGAACTGGTCTCTACCAGTGGTCACAGCAGGTCAACCAGATGGACAAAACCTGGCTTCCCTGGAAGACCCTGGGCACAGCTGCACTTTTCCCTGAAGGCCAACACCAAAGCGTCCCAACACTTTGACTTTTGGCAAGCTTTAGAGGAACTAAGAGTAGAGGCCAGAAATGGGTTGCAGAGCTGTTGTGTTGCCCGTGAGTGTGAAGACAACCAGAGGGCAATGGCAAGCCAAGGCCATTTCCATCTGCAGACACCTTGTTAGCCTCCTGGGCTGGATGTTGAGGATTTTGTCTCAGTGTTCTCACACTCAGTTTTCCTCCTTGACCAAAATAATTTGGTAGTCAGAACCGAGCTGCACACAGAGCATAGCACTAAAGGAACAAGATATCATTTTTTATATTTTTGCACTGTTGGAAGTTTCTTCTGAAGGAAAATGAGCCCTTCCTGGTTTGCTTATAGAAGCTTGATCTGGTATTTTATGTCAACAGCTGCAGCACCATTATCACCAAGGCCATTAATGGATGCTGACACAATCGTCCTCCTCAGATCCATTTCACTTGCAGAAGTAAAGAAGGCTTTCGGAGATGGTTGCTCAGAGCATGCTATGACTTTTACAGGTTGTCCCAGAAGACAAAGCTTCAAGCTTGCAACTTCCCCTCTAGAAATGTTCATGGGGAGAAAAAAGCACATCCAGGTCACCTCCAGCCCAGTTCCACTGCTCAGAGGGTGCGGTGGGCACGGCAGCCTGGGGACTCACCAGCCATCACGGGTTGGAGATGAAGCCACCTGGAATTGACCCTCACTGCCAAACTGAAGGAGGAGAAGTTTGGCAAGAGCAGCAGCAGCAACAGGAGAAGCAAGACTTGGCTGTGCGAGGAGAGGCAGCTGGGGGAGGGTGAAGAGTTGAAACGAGGCTGCAGGTTCGGGCAGATAGGAGCTGCTGGGAGTACAAAATTAACTGCTTGCGGCTGGGAGATGCAGAACTGATTTGAGGCTAGGAGCACACAGAAGGTGGGAAGTTGATGCAGCCAAAATTAATTGATGTGTGCACAGAGCTACATAATTCACTGATGTAAAGATGTGAGGGTTGCATAATTTATGTAGGCCAGGAAGGGCACAAAATTAAGTAATTGGGGTTTTGGTAGAAACCAGAATACTTCATGCCATTATGCCTTTCTTTTGCAAGTTTATATAATTTTTTGTTGTTACCACAACAGTTATGAAAGGGGTCTGAGTGCCCACACACTGAAGGGTTATGAGTAGTAAACATACACAATATTCTTCAGAGGAGCAACAGCATTCAGGAAAGTAAGATAATCATCAAGTAATACACAGTATCATCAATAGAAAAAAACACACTTTAATTAAGAAGAAACTATTGCCCTTTGAAAAAGAAATGCTTAAATTCTGTACTAATTAGAGTATTACTTCAAAATATAGCATTGGAAAAGATAAATGGTTCAAAAATGTGTATTTTGTGTGCAATTATGAAGATAATTATTTCAGGAAGCAAAACTTAAACATGCAAAGCCAGGAAAATATTTGTGGTTCCTGTTAAGAATGAACTAGAATTAACCCTAGGGCTTTGCTAATTTTCTTCTTCTTTTCCTTTTTTTTTTTTTTTTTCTTCCCAACATAGTTAGCTTTTTTCAAAGAATGCTTGGCCATTTCAGCAACTACATCATCAAACAATGCAGAATTGTAACACTGCTAGAAGCACCCACAGCTGATGAGCCTTCTCTAAGATGGAAAAAGTAGCTTTCCTATTGACATACTTCTTCAGTTACATCTACATTCATCGAAATTTTCTTGATTGGATCTTGCAACAAAACTGCATACATAACATAAATGTAATACCAGGAAACATCATGAACGCTGACAAAAATTTTGATAGCAAAATGTAAAGTACGTAGCAAAGCATAAGCTGCACAGTAAAGTGCATACTTAGGTGTGTAAGAGAGAGCAAGTAGGTTCAGCAGGTAACAGAAGTTCATCTGGAGAATTAATGTTACTGCATGTTCTCTGCTGCAATCAATCTCCACAAGCAGGAACGGATTTTTATATTAAATTTAAGGCAAGTATATACTTTCTTCTCCTTCTCATTATTACTGTTAAGAACACAGAACCTGAAAAACACAACTAAAAGTTTAATCCTGCCTTTGGAGTCCAATGAGATTAGACCACAGAAGAAAATGAGAAAACTGGAAATAATAGAACAATCTGTTTCCTTTGTAATTAAATCCTCCCAACTTGAATTAACAATTGCTATTTATGAACCCTGGGTATAGTCCCTACTTACATGAACTCCTGAACATAAGAGGTACTTTATATCTTGTAATCTAATTTAGTAATGCAAATCTTTTTACTTTCATCAGTAGAGTATTTAAACATATGTAAAGCATTTAGAAGTAAGTCATGTTCCTGCTGTGTAACTTTTTGTGAGATCCTTTCAGTGTTCTTGCACACATGT